AATACCACCTCGGCTCTATTCGAGATTTATCCCATAGTGGCAGCTGCACACGTCTGGGGTAAAGAATGGAGTGGACAGTCAGTTAGATGCTTTTCGGATAACATAGCTACCTGTGATATAGTTAACAAAGGTCGCTCTCAGTCCCTAACTATTATGAAATTAATAAGGAGACTGACCTGGCTAGCGGCTAACCTGCAATTCAGCATTACATGTTTTCACGTTCCGGGTGTTCAAAATAACGCTGCTGATGCTCTCTCACGCTTGAATTTGCAGGCGTTTTTCAAGTTTCATCCATCAGCAAACCCTCAACCCAGGGGATCTCCAAGCTTCACAGAACTAATCAGGCCTTAAGTTCTCTGTTACAGCAAAGTAGATCTCTCACACAAGCAGGCTTGTCCGCTAACACAAGGAAAGCCTACTCTAGAGCTTACAAGTTGTTTAAGGATTTTGTTCGTGATTATCACATAATAAATGCTTTTTCTGTTGAAACTATTGTTGCGTTTACAACTTTTTGCCATATTTCTCTTAAATTAGCTTACAACACTATCAAACTATACTTAACAGGCATTCAACACTACATGTTAACCAGCCATCCCAACAAATCTCCATTCCTATCCTCCTACCCAGTTAAAAGTGTCTTAAGAGGCGTTTACAGATTATCTACACATATTCCCATCAAGAGACTTCCCATAGACAGTAAACTATTTAAAAGTATTTCCGATATCCTCGATACGTCCCCTTTTGAACAAGTCACAAACCTAATTATAAAATCAGCAGCTTACTTAGCTTTCTATGGGTTTTTGAGACCCAAAGAATTTTCAGTGGAAAAAACAACCGATTCTAAGCTTTGCCTCCAAAAGAGACACCTAATCAAAAAACAAGACCACTACATCTTATCTATTACCCATACCAAGACAAGCCAAACAGGCCCTCCGGTAGAAATTAAATACTATCTTAACTCTACCAAATGGTGTCCTATCCTAGTTTTAGATAAACTACTGATATCCCAAATTTCTTCTCATCCGTGTTGTCCACTGTTAGCTATTCAAGGTAAACCCCTAACCACCAAACAATTTATGTATTACATCCGTACATTATTGGTTCGGCTAGGACATAACCCAAACGCTTTCACAGGTCATTCCTTTCGCATTGGTGCCGCTTCAGCTGCCTCAGGTAACCAAGTACCTACACACATCATAAAAAACATGGGAAGATGGAAATCGTCTGCATACAATAGATACATTCCTAAACCTGAAAAAGAAATACGAGTGGCTTTCCGTGATATGTCTAAATAATGTTTGTATTTAAATAAATAAGTTTATATGTATTTTGAGTATCGCTTCTAATCTTTATTTTGCCCTCTTTTACAGGCCTAAACCTCACGTCAGTTTCCGCACACCTCAACTGACTTGCTACTTCTCATACTGCTTCTTTTACTATCATTGCCTTATGTCCTCGTAATGTGCCGTACACAAATAGAAGGCTTGGCCTGGAATTGTGGGAGGTACATTTTCCCCCTATATAAACTACAAACAAACCCAGCTTACCTGTCATCGACGTTCCCGGAAGTGCCCCTCCCACCGCACCCTCAATTCATTTACATTTATACTAGGTGGGCCCTCTTTTACAGGCCTAAACCTCACGTCAGTTTCCGCACACCTCAACTGACTTGCTACTTCTCATACTGCTTCTGTTACTATCATTGCCTTACGTCCTCGTAATGTGCCGTACACAAATATATATATATATATATAAATATATAATATTATGAGAATAATCTGGTTGAAATCTGCAACGGACCGTGCACTCCGACTGAGTACCTCCGCCAATCGATGCTCCTAGTGCTCGCTGAGGACTCCAAGCACTCCAACCGACACCATCAGCACTGCAGACCCCACTTACAGTGATGCAGCTACGCCGGGGTCTCGCTGTCTCCACCCACCCTGGACCCAAGGCCAGGATCCAGCTTCCAGTGGGTGAACCTCTCTTTCCCCAGATAGCTTAGATCTGAGCGCACATTATTACGAAATGGCGCTCAAATCACATACATAAAGTTCAATCGCCATGGAGCCAAAGTCTTTTCCATAGTCTTTTGTTACACAAATAGGCTCCATGGCATAGCTATCTGGGATAGCACTACTACTATACTGAAAGTCAAGAACACCCCGGCAGAAATACACAAATAAACCTTTCTGCGGGGGAAAATACAGCTATCAGCACATGGGCCATAGTCGGAAGGCAGGAGGCTAGCCAGTAGTCCCTTCCAGGCACAAGTGGCGAAGGGCACTTCATCACACATCTTCCCTTTAGGGGGAAGACTAAACAGGTACCTGACCTTCTGCTGGTCAGTACCTAGGTTAGTCGGGCAGCCCACCCACAAAGAAAAATACGCAGAGTAACCCCCCCACAATAATTGGTACTGGCCTGTAGGTTCAAGTTTGTAGTGGGACAGCGCAGCACTCTCGGTCTCTCTGGTGCAGCTAGGCAAACTGCTGGTGTTGCTTGGGGGGCAACTGGGGTAACCCGTGGTAAGTCAGGCTCTGATACAGGGGAAAAGGGGGGGCAGAGGCTAGCGGTGCTCTGCCCTGATGCCAGCTCTTCCACTGGGATAGCCTGCTGGGTCTCAGGCTCTGAACAAGGGACAAGGGTAGGGCAGAGGCCAGCGGCGCTCTGCTGGGAGGCGGTCAGTGGGTATCGCAGGTTCATCCACTGCCCCCAGGACCCGGTCGGGATGTATCTGGGGAGGGGGAGGCTTGCTTACCTCCTCCTCCTGGTATCCCTGTGGGGAAGGCTGGGGATCTGGACCGCCCGTCCAGCATCACTGTAGGACTGGCACAGAGACCGCGGTCCCATCTGGCCAGTGGGGTTAGGGTTGTTCTCCCCCTCTCCTGGTATCTCCGGTTGCTGTTGGAGTGGAAGGCCAATTGCCTCCCCTCCCCAGGACGCTGGTTGCTGTACGGAGGAGGGATCTACCATCACCTCCTCCTGGAACTCAGGCTGCCGCTTGGGAGAGAGACCGGTTGTCTCCTCTCCATTGACAACACACTGCCGCTGGGGAGTCAGAGCGACTGTCTCAACTCCCAGTGTTGATGGTTGCTGCAGGGACGAGGGACCGACAATCTCCTCTCCCTGGGATGCTGTCTGCCGCTGGGAAGAAAGACCAATTGGCCACAGCCCCAATCTCCGCAATCGACACTCACATTCCCATGCCGCTCGATTCTCCGCAGCCAATTTGCGCATGGTTGCCAGAATCGTCTCTGTCAAAGGATTCGGGCCATATCTGGTTAACCGCCTCTTCATCTCCTCCCTATAAGCGTCGCCCTCAAAGCGATAGGTCATGTTTGCTGTGAACAAGGGCGCTGTACGAATACTAGCGTTGCCCTCAAATTGTAATTCCAAACGTTACCGGTGCCTCTGCGCTGCTTCTCCTCGCACTAGGATGCCATCCCACCGCTGCCACCAAATGTGACGGACCGCTAGCACTCCGAATGAGTACCTCCGCCAATCGCTGCTCCTAGTGCTCGCTGAGGACTCCAAGCACTCCAACCGACACCATCAGCACTGCAGACCCCACTTCCAGCGATGCAGCTGCACCGGGGTCTCGCTGTCTCCACCCACCCTGGACCCAAGGCCAGGATCCAGCTTCCAGTGGGTGAACCTCTCTTTCCCCAGATAGCTTACATCTGAGCGCACATTATTACGAAATGGCGCTCAGATCACGTACATACAGTTCAATCGCCATGGAGCCAAAGTCTTTTCCATAGTCTTTTGTTACACAAATAGGCTCCATGGCATAGCTATCTGGGATAGCACTACTACCATACTGAAAGTCCAGAACGCCCCGGCAGAAATACACAAATAAACCTTTCTGCATGGGAGAATACAGCTATCAGCACATGGGCCATAGTCGGAAGGCAGGAGGCTAGCCAGTAGTCCCCTCCAGGCACAAGTGGCGAAGAGCACTTTGTCACAAAATCTATCTAAAAAAAAATCAATAAAAAAACTGCAGTAAAGAGTTATACATTTTTTGAGACATCCTTTGACAGCAAGGTCTAACTCCAAAAGGGTATCATTGCCAATGCTGAGAATATGAGGGTGGAAAACAAAAAAGGACTAATCCTAAAACATGCTACAATTGATGGTATTAAAATTTACTGCAACCAAAAAACATGAAAACAAATCTATAATGATCAACAATAGGATAACTATCTGTCTCTAGATGGAAAATAATTCTATATTTACTGAGATTCTATGAAAAGGGTAATTGTTCCCGTTTGTCCGATAGGCAAGATTGAAACTTGACGTGATATATAGTAAACATAGGTTTTATTTAAAATTCACATTAAAAATAATACGGTGACGCAGGGGACTTTAGGTCTCCCTACTCTATCTTAGAAACTAGCCATTATGCCAGCTTTAATTATTGACAATATGTAAAGATCAGGTGAGAGAGTTATTAGCACGTTCTAGAAAGTTCTACTGCCCATTTCATTGTTCTAACATTTGACGTGAATTGCTATGTGTCTTCCGTTTAGGGGTTTGCTGCTCTCTCATTCTGTCCAGGGCTGTAGGCATTACAGCACTGAATATTATTACAATATATTGTAATAATTATCTTCTTCAATGAATAATAGTAATCTATACTGTTACACCTCCTGGACTATCTAGAATCATTTCTTTAAAGTAAATTAGATAAAAACAAAAAGATAGATAAAGCGTAAATAAAACCAGATAACCTTAAATTGCAACGACACAATAAAAAGAATATACATCCGGGGGTGGAGCCTGACAGCAACAGAGAGCAGTCGCATGTCGGCAGGGCTCCGGGCCAAAATCAGCAAAACTCGAGAATTATCCCCAAAAATCAGCAGTGCCCTACCAACTAATCGACAACCCACCTGTCCCACATGATGGGAAAACGAACAAAGAAACTAAAGGCCCACTCAGACGAGGGCACAAGAAGAATAGGGGACATATTCCTGGGGCGGCCTAAAATCAAAATGGCGGCGACGCCTGAATCCCTAGGCTACTCCTCGGAAGAGGATCCACTGGATTCCCCGGACACCATCCCTGAAGCAGATGACCCATTCTCGGCCATACAAGTAGGTGACCTCGGGGCCCCAGCAACTAAAGGAGACATCCTGGGCCTCCTGAAAAACCTGCGCACCTGGTTCCGTACGGATATAGCACTGCTTCGCGAGGAGGTCACGGCCGTAACAGACAGGGTGAAGGCCACAGAGGAGGATATCTCCTCCATAGCACAGCGATAAATGGGTGCAACAGAGCAAATACGACAACTGCAAGGCTCACACCAGGCATTACAGGCCAGGGTGGACGCAATGGACATTGCCAGGAGGCATGCCAGCATCAAAGTCAGAGGCATTAGAGAAACGGTTAATGACAGAGAGCTACCCCATTTTATCCGGCACATTCTGTCGGAGATTATGCAACCCAAGCAGGCAAAGACCCTACAAGTGGACGGAATACACAGACTCCCCAAGTCTCCCAGGGCACCAACGGACGCACCCCGTGATGTCGTTCTCCATTTCCAGTCCACCCGAGATAAACAGGCCATAATGGATGCTGTCAAAAACAAGTGCCCGCTTCCATTTGAAGACTCCCAACTCACCTTCCTACAGGACCTCTGCAGAGCAACGTTGGAGTGGAGGCGATCAGTCAACCAGGTCACCAAGATCATCCGAGAGGCAAGCATTCAGTACAGATGGGGCCCATCTCACACACTGGTAGCCACCCAGGGCGAGACCATCCGGCGACTCACATCAGCGGCTGACGCCGACTCCTTCCTACGCAGTCTGGGACTAACAGGCCTCAAGAAGAAAGCCCGTACCCCTGGACATTCCTGGGACATGCCTAACATAATCCCCTTTGTACCTCGCTGCGAGGCAGACACAGGCTGAGACACAACAAGAGGGCCGGGACTTACCTTCACTCTCTCACAGGGTAGTAAGCCGATGGACTGGCAATCAATAGTAATGCGGTTAACACTTACAATTTACAGTTTTCTCACAGCATGATTAGCCAACGAAAGTATTTAGAAGATTGGGCAGACTAGATGGGCCAAATGGTTCTTATCTGCCGTCACATTCTATGTTTCTATGTCTATCCAACATTACTCCACAAGGACAGACAGGTCGACAACATACACCCCCCTCCCACACACTCAAGGGTTACTGAGCACCCCATTCCCATCACCTCCCCACACAGAAACGAAAAGCCACCGACCGGCCACCAGGAACGTGTCCCTCCCCAGTGCTGCTACCCGCATTAAATCTCAACAGAGAATACCTCATACCCCAGGGAACAGCAGACACATACACGTTCCAACGGGCACCTCACTCTAGACCTCCCAGGAGAGGGCATCTGTTCCCCACGAGTATGCCCAAAGAACCACTAGCTCACCTTATACCTACCATTAGTCTCAGTATAGCAAAATCCAGAGACACAAGCTGACATTTAGGGTAGTTATAAGCCTATAAGACTCACCAAGTTCTTATCCTTATATTATTTATATATTTTTGAAGGAGTGGAGACTGGGTGAAAGTCTAACAGAGAGGGGAAGGGCATTCGATAGGAATGGTGCAGCCCAGCTTAAGAAATCTCTAAGGTAAGCATCAGATGTAGGAGTACGAACAGAGGTTAGACGTAGGTCTCCGGGAGAGCGTAGGGGCCTAGACGGGACATATTTGTGTGTTAGTGATGATTAAGTAGGTCGGAACAGCATTGTGTAGAGATTTTGAGGGAAGTATCAGGAACGTAAATTGAGTCCTATATCTTCTGGGAAGCCAATGTAGAGACTCACAGAGGGGGAGGCATGGAAGGTGCGGGTGGACAGGAAGATGAGCCTTGCCGCCGCATCCATTATAAACTGTTACGGGGCAAGTTGGGAACACGTAAGACTACTGAGAAGTGGATTACAGTAGTCAAGATGAGAGAGGACAGCGGCATGGACAAGCACCTTAGCCGTATCAGGCTTTATATAGGGTTGGTTACGCACAATGTTTTTGAGATGGAAGCGGCAGGATTTGGTGATTGATTGGACATTAGGGGTGAAGGAAAGTCAGAGTCAAAGAAAACACTTAATCAGCGAGCCTGCGAGGTAGAGCAGATGGTAGCCTTTTGACTTGGAGGGAAACAGACAAGGGAGTAGCAACACTTGAGGGAGAGAAGATCAGAAGTTCTGTTTTGGGCAGCTTAAGTTTAAGGAAATGAGCAGCCATCCAATTGGAAATAACAGAGAGGCAATCAGAGACACGAGTCAAGAAAGGTGGTAAGAAATCAGAGAGGGACGATAAATTTGCGTGTTAGACTTAATGTTGCTTCTGTGTGATATCAGATTTCTCAAAAAGAAAGAAAAAGCAACAGTTGTAGTGTAATATGTCTTTAGAAGAGTATAGAATATTTAAAAGTAGCAAAGGCACACTCACTTTTTTGAGCTACTGAGAGCTCTGCTGTATTCAGCGTGGACGGTGCCATCCCCATCTTAGGATATAAATCTCACAGTAGTTATGGTGTTTCTCCAAGAAATAGGATATGTGGAAACAAAAGTGGAAATATCCAATGGCACAGTATAAAGACCAATAATCAAGTAGAATACAAAGTAGGTATCCTATTTACATGGTATAGAGCATGGACCTACTCTGGTGGTATAAAGTGCTGCTACTCCTGTGTCTGTCTCCATCCAAGTCAACGGCGCTACTATCACCTCTACCTCCCAGGCTCGCTGCCTAGGGGTTCTTTTTGATTCTGATCTCTCTTTTACTCCCCATGTTCAATCGATAGCCAAATCCTGTCGCTTCCAACTCAAGAACATAGCGCGCATCCGCCCATATCTAACGCCGGACGCGGCTAAGGTACTGGTTCATGCTGTTGTTCTCTCTCGCCTTGACTATTGCAATCCCCTTCTCACCGGTCTTACATGTTCCCAGCTTGCACTGCTGCAATCTATAATGAATACGGCTGCGAGGCTTATTTTCCTGTCCGGTCGCACCTCCCACGCCTCCACGCTCTGTCAGTCCCTGCATTGGCTTCCAGTTAGATATAGGGCCCAATTCAAAATTCTGGCGCTTGCTTACAAATCCCTACATATTGCTGCTCCAACATACCTATCCTCCCTCATACACAAGTATGTCCCGTCGAGACCCCTGCACTCAGCCCAAGACCTACGCCTATCCTCTGCCCGGATCCCCACCTCTGATGCTCACCTTCAAGATTTCTCCAGGGCTGCACCTATTCTGTGGAACTCCCTTCCCTCCTCAATCAGACTTTCACCCAGCCTCCATTCCTTCAAAAACTCTTTGAAAACTCACTTCTTCATTAAAGCGTATCAATTAAACTGTCAGCAGGTCTCTCATCCCCCACCCCATGACTCCGTTCCTGCACCTGTCAAAAATGACCTACCAAGCACTCAATAAACCCTTCTGTAACAAACTATTTAATTCCCCTACTTTAACCCTTTGTGTCACTATACCCCACTCCCTCTAGCATGTAAGCTCATCGAGCAGGGCCCTCAACCCCCTCTGTTCCTGTTCGTCAGTGGTCTGATCTCAGTTATGTGTCTGTTAGTCCACCCATTGTACAGCGCTACGGAATTTGTTGGCGCTATATAAATAATAATAATAATAATAATAATAATATAAAGTGTTGGTGGCACAATCCTTACCTGGGTTATGTGGAGCCAGGACGCCAAATATGTAACAGAGTAATATCCTAAATAAATTCAAAATAAATGAAATCTAAGTAGGATTAACTTTATTACAACATAAAAAACAACAATGGTTAAAAAAGAATCAAAATAAATAATAAAATCCACACAGTGCGTTTCACCTTGGGGGTTCATCAGAAGTGTCACTGTGTTTTGCTTTTTCTTTCTTTTTGAAATATCTGATTTCAACCAGAAGCAACATTAAGTCCAATATATGTGTGTATATGCTTTTTATCTATCTTTTGTTTTTATCTTTGCATTGTCACAAGGTTGGGAAATCCTTGTAATATTTACTGCAGCCCTTTTAGAGCAAATAGAGAGCACCTAAATTTGTATCTATTTCTTACAGCCACATTAGAGTAGTATCTGTAGCGGATTCATCCGCACATAGAAATGTTTATGATGGTATTTACCGTCCTGACAGGAATAGTTGTGCCCACCTGCAACCATGCACCAGGATACATGATAACCCAGCATGTCTTGAAAAGCCGGCCGCTGCGGATCTATGTCACTTTATAGCCCCATGGCCACCCACATTGATGACGATGTTTTTGGGGTCAAAGGTCGGTTACAACTAATCGGATAAACAGGAGGGTTATTTAAACTAATTTTTAAATTCTCTCATTGCCTTGTTGTGGTTTCTGTCTGATGGTAATCCGAGAGTGCGTTCCTGATCTTGATATTTTGATATTTGACTTTGGCTTCATTCTGATTCCCTGATTTCTGTTATCCTTGACTTTTGGCTTACCCTTATCGTTGTGTGCCATTCTGTGTCCCTGACCTCGGAAAGTATCCTGACTATTCTTTGGTACGTTAAGTCTGGCCATTCTAAGGCCCGGTAACACGTTACCTTTTAGTCCTAGGTGTGATACAATTCTGCGTGCTGGATCACTTAGTAATCCTGACAGTATCATTGAGATTCATGTTCATTCAATACTCTTTTAAAGCTATATTTAGTTGTATTTCTATGGGGGAACACTATCTTTAGGTTTCAGTAAGAGAGATGTTAGGATTGTTTTGTAAGCTAGAGGGAAATTGTATTTAATCTAAATTATGGTAGAGATTTTTTTCTGAAAGAATCTCAAACAAAATCTATATTGCGTGTTTTAAACAAAATTTACGTTTTATTTTGCTGCACACCACTTTTTAAACACTTTTATTAATTTATTCATAGCAAGGGGTAATATAGTTATAAATGTATTTGTATTCACTTTTTGTATCACACAGCTGGATAGCAATGCTGCCGCCCATCCCATGTGTTCCCTATTAAGGGTTAACAAGTATATAGGGGTGTATATAAAAAATACCCCTTTCTGTCTCATTAGAGATATTTTTGCCAGAAGCTCAAGGAAACAATGTGAAAGGTCAGTGTAGGACCCAACTCGGGGGGTCTGCCTTGACGTTGGCAGGCGGGCATTCCCTCCAGTGGCCACTGGAGTAACTAAATGACCTCCATTTGTTTAAATATGCATAGGGATTAAGGAGAGAGCACAGGTAACTTTTTTTCCTTTGGTTTTTACTATATGTATTAGCTGATGTGTACTGTAG